AATAGATAACAAAAAGAAACAAACTGGCGTCTGTGGTGAATGCTCAGATTCTCTGCTGTTGTTCACAGGAGGCGTGAGTACGATTTCCACACGTGTGGGAAAAGAGGGAAAATGGGGTGGGAGGGGGTGGGGAGACAGAGTTGGGGGAAAGGGGGGAGATATTTAGTTGAGCTTCTTTGTAAAAATATAATAGGCGCCTGTGGTAAAACGGTTGGTGTCTTCGTTGTTCCTCGAAAGAGTACGTGAAAGAGAATGGGGGATGGGGGTGGGGTGGGTGGAGCATTATTTTTATTAAACTTGCCAATCTTTCTGCTGGGATACCATGTTTGACACACTCCCTCCTGGGACAGTGCTGCTTGAAAACCAAAGGTACAAAGATGTGCATTTACCTGCATGCCAACAATAATGAGAAGGATAATATAAGCAGCCGCCTCCTAAATATACCCCAAGAGTGTCAGTGGAGACGTCATATACTTACAAGACTTTGTTTTGTTTTTGTTTTTTGGTGGTAGAATAGCACGTAATCTTATTCTCTTTGGGATATTCTTTGAAAGAAATGCATAAATGAAAAAAAAAAAATTACATTTTTTTGTGTCTTTAAAACTAATTCTAACCTGTAGTTGAAATATAGCCTACTCCTGAATTGTTATAACACTGACATTTTATTTCGATTTCTCCCTCAAGAATGCACTGTGCTCTTGAAAGGCGGAACAGCTACAGATTGCCCATGCATGGGAACCCTCACATGTAATATTCCGTCAGGCAGCAACGTCGGTAAGTGTATAATAATTTTACTTCAAGTCAGGCTTATTACACTAAAACTGATTGATTTGGTAAGTCACGAAACACACAACCACCTACTAACAATTAGAACGACTGTATGATAGAAATGTGCAAAAAAGGCAAAAGTACTAGTAAGGCACTGTTTTTCTTCTTCTAAAACTCAGTAAAAGTGTCATTTACTTAGTTTCGGAAAAACAGATTACAAATCAGAACGCGTTATACAAGACCTAATCAACAGAAATTGCAAGCAAATGTTACATGTATAACTGTTTATAAGCACAGCGTTAACAATCTTTTGAAATCCTTCTTAGATAACAATATTTAAAAGAAATATGAAATTTTTTCCTATTTTCTCACGAGACCTGAGTTCTGGAAAAACTGCCGATTGGTAACAATCCAAAGCTTGAAAATATAATAAGGGAGTAAAACCATCTAATAGAATAGTTATCTAAAGACATCGCGATTGTGTCCCTTGTATATATTTATGGTCGAAATCATTCAACAGTTCTTCAATATTATCAATTTGCTGGTCGAAACGCGCGCGCGCACACACACACACACTCTCACACACACACCCACCCACCCACACAGACACACTCACACGCACACACACACACACACACACACAACCAACACACACACACACGCACAAACACATCTCACTCTCTCTCTCTCAGTCTCT